GCAAAGCCAGGCGGAGGTTCCATCACATCCGAAGTCATGACCACCGCCTGGCAGGGTCTCAGGTTATGGTTCCCCTAGAAACCTGGCTGGTGCCGCCTCACAAATGGTTTGCTGATTTGTGGGAGAAAGCACGCAGTTTCCCGGAAATTGTGAGGTCAGAGATCCACATGGCTCCCGAGGAAACAAGACCCCCAAACAAAAGCTCGCCTTAGTTTCCTTGGCCCAAAAGGCGATGCTCGAAACCATCAAAAGGGAAAATTTATATATATATTTTTTATTTAAAAAAAAAAAAAAAAAAAAAAAAAAAAAACGAAACCCTGGGTCTTGTGCTGTGGGAACCTGGTTTTCTCAACAACTCCCTGGAAAAGGTCGGAAGCCTGGCTGGCTCTGCTTTCAAGAGGTGAGCAACCCTTGGTCCCACCTTGAGAAAGGTGCCTGTACGCAAGTACGCCGAGCGAGGTCCAATCTCGGGCCAACGGCTTCGAATTGGAGCTGGCAACCTATCAGAAACTCCGTGTCGCCCAAAGTCGACAGGCTGAGAATCCACTTTGAGAGTGTTTCACCCGGCTGGATTTGTTTCTCCGCCCAGTCACAATGCCGGTGGTCCGCGCGTGGCCAAATCAACGGTCGAAACTCTGCCAAGTGTGGGCTGCGGTCATTCTCAGAAACATTCGGAAGAATCTACGCCGTGGCTTGGCTGCTCGGCGACCAATTCCTTTAGATCCCATGGCTGGTTTGAGACTGGTACCCTGGAAACAAAAGTCCACGCAAAGAAAAAGGTTGGTTTTCTATCGTTTGATTCCTTTTCCATTCTTTTCAGCCATGGTTCTTTTCAAAAACCAGCCATTTCCACAGGGTTTGTGGTGGTGTTCCAGCAAGAAGGATCCCGGGAACGAACGGGGAAGCTGCCCCTAGAACCATCGCCCGTTTCCCCAAGTCGGTGCAGGTCTCAGCTTCATCCGACGGCACCCATTGACAGCCCCCCGAAACGTGCAGCCTTGTTTGCGATGCGGCGTGCCGCGAGGTGGCACCAAGGAAGAGCACTTCGGCCAGAAAGACATTGCTGAGGGTTCCAAACTCATTCCTTGACCTTCCAGGACCCTGGAAAAGCAGGCCTTTGGCCAAATTTCCATTTAGAGCCAAGATCAAAATCAAGAAGGACCCTGGTTTTGCGGGTCCTTGGAAGACCAAGGATTGTTTCAAAAGAGTACAGAGATGTTGTTGGCTCAACACATGGATGCTCAACAGTTCGAAAGCGTGATGTCCAACACGCCCGCGTCCTTTGCATTCTCCATACTGTGGATGGACGAAATCCTCGGGATGATGATTCCCCCGTAAATCGTAAATGCCAGTAATAATGGTTTCCCGTGGTTTCAAAGTGGTGCGAAATGGACTTCGTGAATCCACAGTATGGTTGCGTCCATCCCAAGTCGCCTCCCTCTCCTCCGGCTCAAAGGCGGTCCTGCCGATATGCAACGTGTCCACCGCGCCACTTGTCTGTTCTACTACACCCCAGCATATGCGCGAGTGTATGTGAAAACTCTCACCACAAAAGAAAGAAAAGGTGAAACCTGCACATTCCTGACAAGTGATCGGTGTGTTCCCAAGATGGCTATGAAACCAGCAAGGTCTTCCCGATTTCCCTTTGAGGCCAGGAACAAGAAGAAGGTGAGATAGCAAGCACACAGTGAAAGGATGGTCATGAAACCCGAAAGGGGTTTTGAGAGCACCCCCGACGATCGTCAGCCCCGACCCCCATACTCCCCTATGGTTGACCTGCGTGGCACAGGGGCTGGCTCCCCACTCAGGGCATCCATGACATCCGGGCCGGAGGAGCATAGTAGTACGTGACTTAGAATTTTCCGCCAGCCACCTGAAAGACTCCAAAAAGACACCCTACATGACACTGGCCTTCACTTCCCAACCAGCCTCTGTTCTTGTCCCTCCAAGAGAGGTGCGCCAACGGGGCAGCCTTTGTGCAAAAAGTTGGTTTTTCACTTTCTGGGGGTTTAGTTTTGAAAACCCAACTTGATTTCAACCAAAAAGTAGTCCAAAGATCCAACCCAATAGCAGTCGCGACCACCCCTTTCCCCCCGGCTCCTGCGAACTGCATCTGGCAGCCGGAAGAAAGCCTCGAGCGGTTGGCCGATGGCCCGTCCCCCAGCCCTCGAGATCTGGGTTCCCTCGTTTGGGACGAAAGGCCCGGTCTTGGGGATCCCAAAGAGGGGAACGAAGAAAACCAGGAGCTTCCACAATTACAAATCAAATGGGTCATCATCAGAACAATTTAAAGAATGAAGAAGGTGGCCGCAGCTATTTATGGTTGGGATTGGCACATGAATGTCGGACCAAAACGGGGCGATCCGAAGCCTCTGAGCCTCGCACGTCCAGGATGTAGTGCGCATTTCTCGCAGACGAGCCTGCGAGATGGCGCCCTTGCCGGGCGCAAAGCGATGGGTACGACTTTCCAAAACCAAAAAGCGCAAAGCTGTTCGAGCAAATCGTAAAAGAGAAAACCTCAAAACAAGATGTGATCCGTAGAATCCTGTGGACGCTCAAATTACGAAGACCGCCAAGCCCGAAGACAGGACCGAATTGGGATCACTGCTACCTGCCGCTTCCTTGGGTTTTTCCTTCAAGACAGGCCTACATGAACACATTCCAAATGACTCCTGACTAACTCCCCGGCACTCAGCTATCAGCGAATCAAGCACTGAAACATCTGGGGCACCATACGAATCAGCGGTGAAGACTCTTGGGTCATTGATTTACCGAATCCTACGAAGCACCGATGGCTTGATGGCCCTTCCGTGAGTCCAAACATGAAAAGCAGTCCGTGAATCCCGTGGTGCTTGATTGGAAACCTGAACCTCAAAGGTACAGGTTGGATGCGTTTGTGGGTCCACCCCTTTAAGGCATCGACGGGTAAGAAAGTATAGCAACCAGGGGGAAAGCTGGAGGAAACTAGGGGCAAACAACGCATCCAACTGAGTGTGGCCTCCAACTCGTTTGATACGTCTCCACTGCAAGAACATGTCCATACAATCAGGACACCTTCGACGAACCCCAACAGGATGGAAGTTTGGCCCTTGGTGACGGGTTCTACACAGAAAAGCACGCCATCTTTTTGCCCCTGGGATTCAATCTTCGATTGGTAGAGCAACCCAGCAAGAAGATCTCTGAAAACAGTGGCAGTACCGCCCACCAAAGATTTGCACTGATTCCCAGCAAGCACGCTGGCACCTCACCTTACATTGGTGGATGTTTCGTGTTTCTTCCACCAGCCGAAGGCTAGACTACCATTCCAGGGTACTGTGCCAAAAAGCATCCTAGACAGGTCGTCAACCACTTTGGACTGCAATATGCTACAGTGTTGCAGGCAATGGAAAAAACAGAGGGCGAAGCAATCCAGGACGGTAGGTGAACAGGTCATTGACCACCGCCTTCCCCCACGGCTGGATTTTTTCGCTTTAAGCTTCGAATCATCACATACAATTCTCCTTTCAACCAATCAAACCACCTGCAGGAACTCAACAATCAAACCGCCGAGAAGCTGCTGAACGCCGCCCAAAGAAGACATCAAGCTCATCAAAAGGAACCACACCGCCGGCTGATTGGGCAAGCCGTTCAGAGAGATTCGTCTCGTGAGGCACCGCCCATTGAAGGCACCACAAGCCGCACCCACGGGTCCACCATCATCAAGACCCACTGCCGGAGGCCGCGTCACAGTTCTCCCTCAAAGGTCGCGTTCAAGGCCACGAGCTCGAAGTGAGTGCCAGAGGCAATCAGTCGCCAGATCCAATGCTGCGACTCGACGGTAGAGTTCTGCCGCTCTCGGGGTGAAACCAGAAAGCCAATGAACTGGGCAAAAGGACTGAAGTTTTGGGCCCTCAAATTTGCACCCGCAAGACCTTAACACCCAGCCTTTGCAGAAAAAAAGGACTGACAAACCAAAAAAAACATGGATCCACTCATGTTTCCATGGCGAGCAACTGAAACCGTGGTGGCATTTCTCCACCAGCCCGCCCTCTCCTCCTTTTTGGGCCTTAAAGTCTCGGCCCCAAGGCCCCCTTGCGCCCCGGCCGTTGAGTTGCGGCAGGCGGTGCAAATGCTTCGAGACGTCGCAGCGGCTGGGCGCCAGCAAGGCTTCGCGCACCGACAACAGGAAAAGCCAAACCCGTTTGGGGTGCCTCAAAATAGGAGGGGCGGCTTATTTTCGAAAAAAAAAAAAAAAAAAAAAAAAACGTGTCGTCATTGTGGTGTCCTCTTAAAAGCCACAACGGGCATTCACCAAGCAAAGATACACCCATTTGTCAAGACGGTCTTCAGCTGAAGAGAATGGCCACCCAGTGTCAACTAATTCAGATAGGAGCCCCCTCCTGACTGTGCTTTAAGCGAAACCATCAACACCCGATTTGCCTAGACAGCTTTACAAAACCGCAGGTTCTTCCTCCCGAAGAAGGTCAAAGCCTGTTCAACCGAAAGCCTAAAAAAAATGTTGGTTCAATGAAAAGGCGGAAATGTCCAACCATGCAGCCAAATACCAAGAGCCAAACACAAAACAAACATACCACTCCTATTAGCTGGCGAGAAGGGCTCAAATGTCCACTCTGGTTTTGCACAGGCCACGAGCGGTTGCAAGGGAACGAGGTGTACCTCCCTCCATCCCATTTGTTTGAACCAAACCAGAACCCATTTCATAGAGAGCAAACGACAACAGTGCGGGTCAGAGACCTCGACGCGTGAGGCAAAGTGGCTGGACACGGGCCAAGAAGTCCAGGGTAAGAAGCAACTACCACTCCTGACACAAGAGGTGCTGATGAACATAGCCAATGGGTTAAAAGCCCCTTGCAGCGAGCATGACCAAGGATCGCTAAAAGTGTATCGCCTTTGCTTGCCCATCCCCATTGAAGCAGAAGACACCGGCCCACTCTGGGCGCAAGTTGCGGTGACAAACAACGCTGACGGTGGACAAAATGGAAAACAAGGACTGTGTATGAGTTTATCTATGGCCATCCCAACAGGACAAAATGCTTCAACCCTGTTCAACTTCAAGCTTCCACGCGCGCGTGCCCCAAACTTGAACGCTGCACAAGGCTTCCCAGGTCAGTCCGACTGGGTTTGCTTTCTTCCGTCAACTCGCCCTAAAAGCTCGACGTGAATGACTTTGGATGGCACGAGTGTTACAGGTTCAGGTCAGGGTTTGAATACCTGGTTCATTGTGGAGATTAGCCCAAGTTGGCGTGTTGTGATCCTGGCGCAAATGTGTGTAGCGCTCAAAACCCATTGACTTGGTGTTTCTACCAACATGTTAAGGTCTCTTCTGAGCCAAGTCCCGAGGAAAAACATACCACCTCACCAGGCACTGCCCGACGCTGCGCACACTTCTCCTACGGACCCCTTCTGGTTGCCATTGACCATTGTGCTTACATTGGCCAAAAAATATTCAACCCCCAAGGTCAAACCGAAAGAGCACCCGAAAGGAGTCAGGTGTCCTTTGGGCTTTTTCCACGACCGCAATCCGAAGGCCAGGGCCCTAAAGGGTGTTTCCTTTGAGCGCCTTAGGCGCAAGGCGCAACAAAGCCGACGCCCGTCCCCTGAGTTCCCGTGCCAAGGGAAGAAGAGGTCCAAGGAGTCGAAGAAGGCATTGACCTGTTGGCTACCCGGTGGCTCCTTGGCACCACTTGTTGTTATAGAGAATATACTAATGATGGATGTGATAAATAACAGAAAGGAGCTGTCAATATGAACTGTATCTAATGATGAAATTGAGATATTCCATGCTGAAAAACGCCGTCTTCCGGCGAGTCTTCGAAGCTACGCCTTGCCGAAAAGTGTCCCAACAACAACAGACAGACTTTGGGGTCGGAAGAAAAACAGAAACCCTCCTGGGCGCGACCGGTTTTGAGAGTTTCAAGGGACTCACGATGTTCAACCCTTGAGAAAGTACGTTCACATTCCAAAAAGAAAAAGGAGTGGGTCCTAACCAAAAGGAATGGCGTTGGTCTTTCCAACTCTGTTCTTTTTTTTCTGGATATTGACCTGGAAAAATCTGCCCCCTTGCGCAACCCCTCCGAGTGACCTTGTTTGTCATCTTCTTTGTCTTTTTCGGGGAAATTTGGCGAGTGTTGCGGTGGTTCTCCCAAATAGACCATGAACTTTCGGGGATACTTTGAGGTTGAAGATCTGGCCGAGTGCATCGCCCAAGCCATTTCGAGCTTCACGGCTTCACGGCTCATCCCCGCCTCGTCCGGAATTAGCTCGCCGCCCCGCAGCATGCGGAGGAGGTGGGCAAAATCATACCTTCAAGGTCGGTAAGCACATGAGGGAGTCTGGTCATGTGCCCTGCCATACAAAAAATAAAAAAAAAATAGAAATAAAAATAAATCCAAGTGTTTCCAGGTTGTTCAGGGAAACCAGGCTTCTGGTTGGTTGAAACTCCAGAGACCAAACAAAGCACCCTGAATCAGGAAAAGAAAGCTGGAAATCTGGAAATGGACCACACTGAAATTGATCAGGAGACCTCAAACTGCGGTCTCTCGTCCAGGAGATTCCTCTACGCCGTTGGTTTGTTGCCATTTTGGGCTCTCTTCTTATCTGCTGGTGTGGTTTCAGGATACGTGGCACAGCCCGGGTCAGTAAGCGCCCAAACTCGGGGCACAGCCCGGAGAACATCACCTGCGGCCTTAGGGCTGTGAGTGTCGACTTGGGAAACTCGAACAACATCCTTTCGCGAGGGAAGAACGGGAGTTCTTCTACAAGCCCTGTGACGAATCAGTGCGGGCCTTGTGGGTGTGAATCTCCTCTTCGCACAAAAGTCGATCTAGGAATCAGCTGTGGCATTGAGTCCCTTTTAAGCCAATGTAACGGTCACGTTAGAAGGGCCCAATTCTCTCTTGGGGTCAACCCCAACTCGCTCGGAACAACCGAGAAACCCCGCAATCTTGTATGGGCTGCAACCGGAAGGATACCATGCACGGGAGGGGTTGGGTTCCTCAGGCGGCCATGGAATCGCCTTAGGCCAAACAAGGCCAAACAAGGCCAAAGACAGGAGGGGAGTGGCCGGAGATCCGTGGGGTCTCTGAACGCTTGTTTGCGCTCTCATATTTGTCCTCTGTCTGTTGGTAAGACTCCGGGGGGTCTTCCAATGTAGACACCACGCATCACACGACCTATCTATTTCTCCATCCCGGATTCCTTGTCAGGCATGTCCGGAACTTCAAACGCACAATAGGCATTGATAAGCGATTGGTGATATGAGGGAACGTCAAGTCCAAGAGGCCCCAGAGGTCCTTGCGCCCTGATCTCGAGCCGTTCATTGAACCGATTTTCGCCGCTTGGAGTTGGCGGCCTCTCTCGGTCATTTGAAGGCCGATCAAAGGAAGCCTACCAAGCTTAGTTGGAATTCCTCTGTTTGGAGACAAACCCATTTTTACAGACGCCCTCTCTATGACTGGATTGGAATGTGCTGTTTGGTTTGTGCTTTCTCCCTTTGCGACGGCACGTGATGGTCAAATCAGGGACCCCAAAAGACTCACAAGCGACAGTTTGGGTTTGCCAAGGGGCCTTCTGTCCGAGGCTTTTCAAGCCCTTGAAGCCTTTGAATGATGTTCTGTAGGGTCCCTGAACTACGGCCGACTTGCGCCAAGGGAGGTCCGGTTTTGTGCTGGAAATCAAAATGGGAATCACGACTGTGACCTGGTTGAAGCGGCAATCCCACAAATAGATCCCCTTGCCCAGGCAACCTTCCCGCCACGGCCCCCAGATGCTTAAGCCTTCTTGGGGCCAAAGGCCAAGGCCAACTACGACCAGGGCCAAATTTGCAGGACCATCAGCTGATATCTCGCACCACCTCGCATGGGCTGCCCGGCAGCTCCGGTCTGCCGGGATGCCCATCCTGAGTGCAAGTGAACTCCTCCTGCCTAGCCTGAATGCATCAGTGGTGTGAAACGCGAAAATAGAGCGGGGTAAAAATGTTAAACGCGGGACTAGCATGGAAAACTGCGTCATGAGAGTGATAGAGAGACAGGGAGACGGAGACAGACACAAAGACGGACAAAACACAGAGACAGAGACAGGGACACAGACAAAGACAAATTCAACAAGAGACTCTTAGTGTTCCCTAAAGTAAAACAACATGAAGAAGGGCTACTGAGTCACCGCTTTGCTCGTCTTTTCGCTAGACGAACACCCGCTGGTTGTAAAACACCCACATGTATCCTCCCAACAAACATTGCCTGCCCCCTTTCGGAAGGCCGTCGTCTGCTCGCTCGTCTGCTCGTGTGGGTGTTCGCTTTTTCATTTGTGTCGATGATTTGTCGGGTGAAATCTGGTGCTGTCTCCTCTGTCTTCAAATCCAGGGATCAAAGCTTCACGCCGCCTTTCCAGGCCCACGGGTGGGGCAGGTAAGATGCCGGGAACGTGTGCTCACCTAGCGCACTGTCTCGAGAAATGGTCCATGACGATGATTTAGCAGGAAGCATCCAAAGATTGGTATCTTCATGTGGATACATTCCTTTGGATCCATCTTTCTTGACAAGCTTGGAATGCCCTCGAAGTCTAAGACCACTTGTTCAGGGCACAATTCCACACGTGCGTCCCGTGTTTCCAACAAGGCAGCCAAAAAAGAGAAACCTTGGCTAGCGATGACCACCCCACTTGGCAACTGGTAAGTCGCCCTGGCTAGCGATGATTGCTTAGGGTTGCACCGATCAGGGTTGTCAACCACTGGCGTGCTCCAAGTAGGGCTGGGCAAATTTCAGAAATTGACTCATCCCCTTGCTGCTTCCTTGAAGGAAATGAAAGATCATGGGCCTGTCCACCCGGGACCCCAAAAGACATCCCCCAACATTAAACAGGGAAAAGGCCACAATAAGGCTTACTGGAACACATGGCAACCATGTCTTAGGTGCTGTTTGCATACAACAACAACAAAAAACTGGTTCAGAGACGGCTAATCCATCTAGCAAGGATGGGTCAATTATGTCAATTCCGCACTGTAGCCAGTGGGGAACTGGCAGCACCCCAATTTAGCTCGGGACTTACTTGCAATGTGTGGGTGTGTCTCAGAAAAAGCAGATACGCCAAAAGGCGGTTGCTGGGCTTGCATGTCTTGGCCTTCACAAAACGTCGATCATGCTTGTTCAAGATCAGGTCGTACAATGCACCCAATATTTTGGCCCCTTACTCTTACCCCTCTCATTTCTCCATCGCCCGTCTTCGAGGTACTTTCGGATCAAAAGATGGGGCTGGTATTTGAAGCGCAGACTTGGTGAAATCTGATGGCCCCACTAAACAAAGCTTAACTTGTTGTTGGTTTGTGGGGGAACACGCACGCAATGTCCTAAAAGTTATAAAGGGTACAGATTTAATTATATAGTTAATATGGCATTCCAAACCGTTCCAAGACGCATTCCCCCCCAGAAAATGAATAGACCACCCGAAGTCTGAATTGACATGTGGAGGCACGTCTGAACATGTCCATCCGGCCACAGGCCCAGCATCCAAGAAGGGTTTCCCTTAGGAGCCTGCATAACTCGGTTGAACTCCTCTACCAGCAATTTTGGCCTTTGCTTAGTTGTTTCAGACTAATGCAGAAGCTATGGCCGCTGAATTAACTGCAGTTCGAGGTTGTTTGTTCTCCCAGAAAAGAGAGAAAAGTCAGGGAAGTGCTCTTGTCTCTGAATGGCGGGGAATCAATCTCGGTGCAAGAGTTCCAACTCGGCGGAAAAAAGATGGCACACAGCCCTGCTAGTTCTCCATTCTCCGTGTTTACACCGTCAGCATATTTGACAATCTTTGGGGAAAGGCCAAATGATTCCTGCCAGTCTGGGTCTCATGTGGGAAATGGAAAGATGACCCAAATCTAAATGAGCAATGCCGAAATCCCACCATTTGCTTCCTTCCCTAATGTGCACGTTGCCAGGTTTACCCCCTCACGATCCATTGAAGCCAGTCGAAGCGCCGGCAACCATGGCCGAGCATAAACACAGGGGGCGGGATGGTCAATGCCACAGGTTTTGATGGTCAGTGACAAGCACGCAAGGCAGCGGGAAATGTGGAGAGCTCCGGGATCACCTTAAGAGGGAGCCGCCAAAAGGCTCCAAAACATGTCTGGGGCGTGCTCATCTGCAGGATATTCTCTCTCTGAACTCCGGTGCTTGTTCTTGCATTCCCGTATTTTGAACTCATAGTCTTAGGGCCCTAGTGTTGTCTTGTTTGAATTCTCGCTCTGGGCCAGATTCAGGGCTCGCTCAGTGGCCCGGCTTGTTGCGGGATTCCTATGTTGGGCAGGAGACAAGGTCGAGGAAGAGGAAGTTGTGCTCCAGCCCCGAGCGTCAATCCACAAACAAAACACCAGGCCCTCGAGCGAGGCGTGTTTCCGACCAGGAGTTAATCCAATGTGATATCAAGCCTGAAAAAAGCTGCTCCGGATGGAACCGGGGTGCTTGTTGGTTTATGTTTTGTAACCACCAGTTGCTCACTCACTCGCTTGGTGGAGAGTCCAAAACGAGGAATCCAAAATAGAAACAGCTAATGTGAGCTCCAAAAACCCACGCTCCCAAAATCAGCCATTTCACATACGGTACATACTTGGAGATTTGGCTCGTGACTATTGCCGCGTCCCAGCGTATGGCTCCCCGGGCAAGCACCGCACTATGAAAGTGGGCTCAGTGTTTGCCGTTGATTCTTCAAAGGAAGACACATTTCTCAAGCCTCTGTCAAACCCTTCAAGTACCCGGATCCTTGCTGAAACGGGTCTCAAAAGAGCCCAAAAGGAAAACCACGCTCCCCTTGTGGATGCGGCCCAACAAGCACCTGTCAAACTTTACCCCAGTGCACATGGGAAGAGGAGTGATTCCCCTATGTCCAACCAACCAACATAGTGGAAACTCTACAAACCCAGCCTCAGATGGATCGCTGTTGAAAACGTGCCCCTCCCAACCACCCCAACCAGTCATGCTCCTTCTGGTCAAAGTTCCCTTGGTAGCTACATGAAAATGCAGTCAGTGGCAGTGGGCATATCTCACGGAACCTCCACTGGGTGTTTCTCTGTGACAGGGGTCTTCAAGAGATTGTTTTACTGGGAAACCAAAAGATTCGATTCGCCAACCACCATCGCCTCGCCTCGGTGTTCGAAAAGCTGTTGGTGCCACGGTAGGTGATCCAATGCACGTCCTGCTAAAAACGCGTTGCCGGCTCCACCCATTCGAGGATTCGTTCTTTGGGATACTCTGCAGCGGGGGCCTTCCTTCAAGAGTTGTTCGTCTTAGCAAGATTGTGGTCGAGTCGATTCGACGAATGCTTCACAGCATCTTATCTGTCAACCAAAACGTTCCTCGAATTTGCAGCTGGGAAAGGCACCTCCAGAAGTGGATTCGGTTCCAAGAAGTGGATTAACGTTTGGATCGTTGGGAATTTGCAGACCTACTCATGTTCCAGCTTCCTGGTTAGTCCCAACCTCGGCGCTGGTCTAATGAATTTCGGTGCCCCGGTCCGAAAAGTGGGGTCACCAAAAAACAGCGTGTATCTTTCCAAGAAAGGGGGCCATAAGGAAAATTGGTTCCAAAAGTAAGGAAAGATGTCAAATCCTGGCCTTGTCATTGGAGTGTTGGAAGAGGTCCAGGGAAAGCCCTGCTGGGACAGTCTGGGTTTCAGTCAACTGGGGGTCAACTGGGCCGTGGGGCTCAAATGCGGGCTGACCTCGCTGAACTCTGGTGCCCTTTGGGGTACCTTTTGGACGGATCTAACCAAAAGTTTGCGCGGCAAGCTTTACCCAGACACCCAGCCCCAGGCAGCCCCCCCCCCACAAATCCTCGTTCAAGACCAGCCCTGAGCCCAGAAGCAGCTCTGCGAACAAGTTGGGCTGGATGCCCTGTCGGGCTTCCCCCACCCGCCCCAAGCGGCCGGCGGAGCTTCCCGGCGGCCACACACCTCTTGGTGTAAAATGTTAGTTTTGCTTGACCGATTTGGGTATGTCTTTTTGAGGGTACCGATTTGGGGTTGGTTGAAAGTGAAATTCACGGGGAAACCGTCCGTGTTTCATGCACTCAACCAGTCGGTTCGGGGAACCTTCGCGTTGCGAGTCCTTAAAACTCGTCAGTTTCAATTCCGGGACCCAAACACCCCCACCCCTCCCAGGGACGTAGGGAAACAATTAGTAAACCTACTAGGGAAGGCCAAACAAGGTGGTCTTTAGGGTCGGTAACCTGTCGATACCCTTTGAATCAACCCGAAAAGGGCCAGCTCAAAGTATTTTAAGGATGTTCCCGGTGTTGCCTACCAAGGTTCACTCACTGCTTCCAAAAACTGGGTTTCCCAAAACTTTGTGGTTCCTGCAAACACCATCCTCAAACAGGTCCCCCAATTGTAGGACACTGTGGACAGCCTTCCACCTGCGAGGGAACCAAACCACTGTTTGAACATGATTTGGGTGTGTCGTTGTTTAGGGGGCCACCCCAAAATGTTGGTTTTCCTTTGGGCATTCCTTTAGAACCACCAAGAAAAGGGGACCAACTCCAAAAACGACAAGCCACCCATTTGAGTCCTGACGTTTCACCCAGTTACTCCAAGGGGAAATGCCTCTGCTACATAAATTGGGATTATCTCCCACTATAAAAACACGTCTGCTCCCCCCCCGTCTTTGAAACTTGCGAGCCCCTGAAAAGTGGCTGGTGGCAATCCCCCACCAAGGGTCCGCAAACAAAATTCAGACCCAAATCGATGGCAATGAAGGCGAAGGCCGGAAGCTAGTTTTGGCCTCATGGCTTGTCTCAAGATCATGAACAGGCCAAAGGGCTTCTTTTGTTCGGTGGCAAGCCTCCGTCCGGGTACTTGAGCCAAAACATGGTGTTCCATAAATCCCTGGCTTAAGTGGCACTTTGCCAAGTCCCGCCTTGCTCATGTGCTGCTGGATGTTCAAATTCCTCTGCTGGTGGAGGTTTTCCACCACCTCCTCCGAGAAAAAAACGGGTAGGGCGGATTAAGCCCCATCTGTGTCAAGCTAATGGCCATCCTTCCTTCCCTCGCACCCCACGATTGCGATGGTGGGTCGTTGCATTCAGATAAGGCTTCAACAAAACAACCGGGTAGGGGCTTCAATGTCGGACTCTTTGGTGGAGGTTCGCAATATTATTTTTTTTTAAAAAAAAAGGAGAAGTCAGCAACTGGTCCAAAAGCCATAGCCAACCAGAACTTGGAACCCCAAAGGGTCTATCTTGCGATGCACGCGGGGCCCGGGGACCTCGGCAGGAAACTGGAGAGATCATAGCTAGCTGAAGACGGCCCATGTTAGACATCCTCAAGAAAAAACCACGTCCGTCTAGGCAGATCACAGGACCCACCCCAAAATTTGGATTGAAGCCCCACATGCTCACTGGAAGGGACCCAACTGAACCACTGGCTTTTGTGAATAGAATTGAGCCTGACCCCCCCAAAAAAATGGAGAAAACAGGGGGCCTGGGGGGAAGAGGGAGGAGTGTAGGGGTTATTGGGTCAAATGTTGTTATCCAACGTTTTAACACCCTTGTTTGATTTCATCCTATATTTTGTTGTAGGGTGTTAGGGGTGGATTTTCTGGGGGCCGACATTTTTTTCATTTGAAAGAGTTAGCCCTTTTAGTAGTTATTAAGTTCTGGGGTGTTGGTGGTTCATTTGTTTATTCCTATTCTTGTTCAAAGTCACTTGTTGCTTCCATGTAATCTCTCACAGTATCGTTATTGTTTTCTTGACCTTTCACTCTTAGTTGGTGCTTACTTGTTTGTTGGTGCTTTTTCATTCTGTATTTTCCTACAAAGCATTTACATAAAGGACATTCTACTTTCAATTGGTTATAGTCTTTCTGTTTTTCATTTATGTCTTCTTTGTTCTTCTCTCTATAGTCTTTTGCTTTTTGTTTTATTTCGTCTTTATGGTTTTCACGATAATTCTTTTTCTTTTCTAGTATAGTGTCTTTGTTATTCTCTCTATATGTCTTTTTCTTCTCTACAATCTGCTCTTTGTTGTTTTCGTAATACTCCTTTGACTTTTGCTGTATTTGTTCTTTGTGTGCTTCTCTATACCGTTGTTTGCTCTCCAAGCATACATTACATTGTTTTCTTCCCTCGTTGAACTTTTCTAACAATTGAAAGACTTTACATTTCGAACATTGCTTTTTGTCTGTCATTGGTCTCTATATGTTTAAGGGGTTATTTATTTAGATAAGTTTAAGGGGTTTTATAGGTTAAAAGTTCAGTATAATTATAACATATAAGATTTTACATGTTATTATTATATTATGATTATAATTTCAGTTCAGGATAATAATCTAATTGGTGTGTCTTACTTCTTTCATACATCATTTTAAAAATAATATTAACATCTCTCACTGTATTCTGAACATTAAACTTTTTACTTTCAATAAATAATTTGATATTTTCTTTAACATCTTCTCCTTTCTCTTGACTATAACCCAACATCCATAATATATCATAAATCATGTCATATTTTTTCTTACTGATTTTAAGAAACTGTTTAATATAATCGTAAGGTGGTATTTTATTTACAGTTAGAAATATTAAAATCTCATCTTCTACATTTCTATTATTTATTCTTTTTATTTCCAACAGACATTTGATTAAAAATTGATTATCTCTCCATTCCTGACAATTTTCACATTCGTCTTTTTCATCCATTGAATAATTAATAATATTATTCACTATTTCATTAGGCAAATTCAATTTATACAATCCCATATTTTCTTTTTTGAAGTGACAACAATCATAGCATTTTTTATCGATATAATTATTGATTCCATCACCGTTCATTTTTCTCTTAATATATAAGGTAATATTTCTTTAAGTAGTTTTGGCTAGGGGGTTGCTGGTCGGCTGGTCTGGGTTTCAGGTTTAATTTAAATGTCTTAACCTTGTTGTTAGATTATAAAACTAGGTTTAATCATATTATAATTGAATAATATCATTAAACTAAATCACTCACGCTTTCCATTCACCTATTCCATCCCACCAGAATTCAATAATTCGCATCTGTCCATCTACTAGACTGTATTCTTTGTTTAGTTTCCGTATCGCTCCTGATAAGATATAGTGGTTAATAATCATTGCATTAAACTTTCCATCACGGTTTAACTTTTTACCACAGTCTTTTATGATGTCTTCATCTGTTAGGTTTTCATACATTTCTTTCAAGATGTCAAACCTAACAAATGAGTATATCGCCATCAAGTTTAATCCGCTATTATCCCTAAACCTGCTAATGACATCTTTCCAGAATTCTTCGTTTTCATCAACTGCTGGCAAAGGGTTTCTTTTGATGAAATCCTTTATTTTGTTTAACTCTTCATCTAATTCCTTTTTATAACTGTCATTATCATCATCTTCTCCGTCTGATAGCACCAAGTTTGTTAAGTCAGCAATCACTCCGACATTTTCTAAATTCAAGTCCTCTAATCTTATTTCAGTCATATTTTCACTTAATATAATAAGTTAATATTTCTTTAAGTAGTTTTTTATTTTATGTTAAGGGGTGGGGCTTTATATTGAAAACAATTTTTCTAACAATTTAATATAATGGCGAGATTAACAAAAGACCAAATAATCAGCAACATCTATTACGACTTAGACGAGGGTTTCGGAAGCACACAAGCGACACACAAGAAGGCAAAGGAAGAAGACCCAACAATAACATTAGACGATGTAAAGTCTTTCTTAAAGAAACAACCAAATAAACAAATCAAAAATTATAGAGGTACTAATTCCTATACCGCACCATTCGCACGATATGAATATCAAATAGACATAATGCATATGTCACCTTTAGCAAAAGACAAGAACGTTCCACAGTATGCTTTAGTCGTGATTGACATCTTCAGTAAATTAGCAGATGTAATACCGATGGAGGAAAGAGACGGAGAGCACGTTTTGAAGGCGTTGAGAACAAGCTTTAAAAAGATGGGTTATCCGATGTCCGTGTATTCTGATGACGACGGAGCGTTTGCAACTAAAAATCAAGTTCAGGATTTCTTCAACAGTGAAGGAATAAACCACATCGTCACGAAGACCCACGCAAATGTGGCCGAGCGTTTTATTAGAACGATGAAAAACAAAATTCACGATAGAGTTAGGTTTAACAACATGAAATGGACCGAAGCCCTAACGCCAGCATTGAAACAGTATAACAGCACATCTCACTCATCAACAAGGATGACACCGTCTGAAGCACACAAGGACGACAATGAAATAAATGTAAAGGTCAATCTTAAACTACGAGAAAAAAACAAAAGAAAGTATCCCAGAATAGTGGAGAACGACAAGGTAAAAGTGTTTCAAAAGAAAAGGGGTAATTACACCGACAGAAAGGAGTATAACTCTAAATGGTCTAATAAAATATTCAATATCGATAAAATTGAATATGATATTATGGGTAATAAAACTTACAAAGTAGCAGGAATAAACAAACCGCTTTTGAGACACGAAATTTTGTTAGTTAATCATTAAACATAAAGTTTCAGTTCCTTGTCATATTCTATTTTGTCATAATCCATGGTTGATTGCTTCGGTTCTGTAATTTCTTTGTTATTAAGTTTGTTTAAATAATTTTGGTGTTTCAAAGTTTTTTCGTGTCTTGCTTTTGCCCTCCAAGACACACAACAATTACAAATCAAACATGTATGTGTGCGGTCTTTTATTTTCTCAATATATCGTTTTTGCCATTCCTTTTTCTGTTCATTGTTGTTCTGTTGGTAAAACCTGTTATAAACTCGTATCTTGTCTTGGTTTTCTTGCTGGTACAGTTTGTTGTATGCCCGTGTTTTATCTTTGTGTTCTTCACGATATTCTTTTTGATACTTACTAAGTTTTTCATTGTTTGTTTCTTGATATGCTTTCATGTATAGTTTTGCTTTCTCTTTGTGTTCTTCGTCCTCTCTATATTCCTTGTCAGTTCTCCCTGCTATTTGTTTGTTTAACTTACTTTGGTATTCTCTAATATATTCACCTTCTCTCTTGTGTAATTCGTCACGGGTGTTGCACGGGTAGTTTTCCAACAGTTCTATATAAAAATTAGCTTTATGTAGTTCTCTCATTATACAATACAATCTGAACTCTTGACACCTTTTAGTATTCATATCTCTTCTATGTTGAACCATTCTTTGTGATAAACTCTGACAAGTGCTACCGATATACACTAAATCGTTTAAGGTGTTTCTAATGATGTATATCTTACCGTGTTGAAAGTTCTGTTTTCGTCTAAATCTGTTTTCTTGTTCCATACTGTTATATATTGTTTTATGTTGTGTTGTCTTTAAGTGTTTATATATTATGAATAAACCCCTGTATCTTCATCATAGTCAATTTGATAAAATGCCATAGTGGAGGACTTCGGCTCTTTTATCTCTTTGTTGTTGAGTTTGTTTAAATACACTTGTTTCTTATTTTTAAATTCGCCACTGGTTCTATCTACTTCTTTACTTTGATAACTGTTTGTGAATGGTTTCTTCTTTTCCATTTCTTGTAAGATTTCCAAAATATTATTATTCTGTTCTAAAACCTTTTTTAGTTGTTTAACAATCTTATCTAATCCTTCAGCCATGTAAAATATATACTAAATTATAAAACTAAACTTTTAAAACTAAATGTTGCAATTATGTTAAATCTACTCTTTAAATACTAATTTTTCATTATTTGTTTAACAGTTTCCTGAGTTTCCTTATCACCATTATCTGATGGAGTAGCGTTCCGACCCCATTTAAATGTAATATTATGAACATCTGTTTCTAAGTTTATACTGTCTTTAGTTTTATCAATATTCATTTTCTTATCATTTCTACTTATTTTGAAACTTGTCGGAATACACGAACATTTACAGTTTCCTTTCTTTTGTATTTCTAATTCATTTTTCATTTCTAAGATTTTTTTACACATTGGACAAGCAAACTCAATAACTGATGTGTCTTTAACA